AAGGTTGCGACAAGCTTCAAGAATAATAACAGAAAAACACGTCTCAAGCAGCTCATCACTTGACATGCAAATATGCTCTCTTCCAATCGAGCTAGCCTTTAGCCCATTACAAATCAGGCGGTTGACTCCACCCAAACACTTCTGTTCAATTGACCCTATACAGATCCACGCAAGGCCTCTTATCCCTCTGGTCTGGTCGTAGGAAGGAGTGCAGGTCTTGCACTCTTGCTCGTCCTTGAACTCTCTGCTCTTTTCATACGCATGCAAGAGGAAGTCTCGCACTTGACTTCTCTTGCTTCTATTCATTTGACTATGGACGTTGCATGCAAGAGGAGCCCTCATGCTTGATCTCTCCTCGAGCTTGGACACACAAAGGAAGCAGAAGGACCAATATTCCTTAGAATTCTAGCAATGAAAGCTGGTGGAAGGACTAGTGTTCCTCAGAATCTTGGCAATGAAGGCCGATGGTGGAAACTTGAAGAACCAGCAAGTGTCAGCTCCTTCAGAGTAGGATAAAGTGCTTATAATCTCTATGTAGCCTTTACTCGAGCAGAGCGGATAGGAAAAGTATCCCCCATTAACAAATCAAGTGCAAAAGGAGCGACAATGCATGCTCCTTTTCTAACAACACCACTTATCAAAATAGGACGAGTTTTAGGTCTTGCCAAAGTACTCTCAATCAACTACAAAGTCAATCCCCTCATCTATGGATTACCACTTTTGTTCGCTGATTAGTGGCAACATGTAATGAGCCTAGGCATGCACGTTGAAAAAATCCTGCACGACCTTGCAAGCATCACCTAAGCATGCACGCCACCTACCATTGCTACCTCCATGCTACATTGGTGATGGCAGCTAGATTTGCAAGTGCACCAGTAGCACACTCAAGGGCTCCATCTATCTCAATTGGCCATTTGAAAATGAGATCTACCACAGCTTTAACACCACTAGCTTCAGTAATGGCAGTCTTGTGCTCTTCTCCAACTGAAAGATTCCAAAAACCTCCAGTAGCCTCTTCATCAACCAACCTATTTGTGTACCTTGCTGGATCCACTGTTGCATTCTCATCATCAATCTTTACAAATGTAGCAAAGCCCAACTGCTGCTTTGTCTTGCACATCCTCCTGGGAACAATTCACCAAACTCAGTAGCAATGTAGCATCGCACCCTGCCTTAAAAAAAAAAAAACATCCATGCCAGCTGGATTCATCTCTGCTATGCGGAGCAAGACTATGACAGTAGCCACTCAACCCAGCTTATGATTTCACTCAGGTTCTTGTCCTTGTTTCCTTGAGATCTCCAATTTCTAGTGATCTCATTTTCCTTTACTATAGAGTTAGAGAATAAAGAAGTAATCCTCTTGGAAATGTCCGTGAACAGGGTGAGAAGTATCTTGCCCTTGGCATGGATAGAGCCTAGCGGGTCATAATTGGCTTCCTCTTCTAATGCCAAATAGTTGAGAGCGCACAAAACCTTCAAATTCTTAGAAGAATATATATTTCTAAATAGAGCACTTGGAGGAACATCAGAGAGCACTTGGAGGAACATCAGTCCTAAAAACATGCAATCCAACAAGGTTTGGTAGCTTGTTCCAGTAAGTGACAGTTGATGCCCACTTCAAATTTCGGGAGCCTACAACTGACAAAAAACTATAGGCATTCCACCTTGCCAAGGGAGGTCTCATCAATGTTCCCACAGGCAGTGTCTTGCCAAGGCGTCAATGGAGAGGCCATCAATCTCCTGACGCCCGAAAGGCGCATCCTTCTCAATATCGAGCAAGACATGCCACATGCCGGATTGCATCACTGCTAATCTTTTCACAACGATCAGGGCCAATTTGGAGGCTCTCAAGTGCCTCATGTCGAGCAGCAATCACTGATAGCATCGCATCAGTAATGCCACGGTAGTAATCCATTGTAATCCCTTGTAAGTCATGAGTGTGAAGGTTTACAATGGTAGCAGCCGACTACAATCCCCGGAATCGAAGATGATGGAGGCTAATGTAGCGTGAGGCTAGAGCGTTCGCAGTATTTGTGTCGCAACGATGAGCGCGGAGGTCAAGCGAATTCCAAAAGCACTGCGAGGAACCATGGATGCACTAGGTGTGGCAGGTAGAAGAGAGACAAGCTCGGTCACAGTAGCTGAGGCAAGAGAAGAGTTGGTCCACTGTGTCATCAGGGAGGTGAGTCCACTACATGTCGTGACTTCCTACAATTTGACCACCGGGACGGCATATCTCGTACTCCTCGGGCCGGTCCGCTTGCGTACTCGGTTCGACCCTAGGCTTGCACGCAGAATGCCTCTGCTTCGCTCAAACTCCCCAAACACTCGTTTGGTATCAATCACACACGAGGGGAACCACTTGCTCGACTCCGCTTTCTCTGTTCTTCTCCTTCACTTGTTTGGCCATTAGGTAGACACGAACAAGAGACTGCTCTCAACTGTACTTGTTTTTTGTCTTTGAAACCGAAGAAGAGCCGCACACTGGTGGCAGAAAACATAAAGCCTCGTAATTTCGACAACGACAATGAAGGCCAGCAAATTAGCATTCTTAGGTTCATCCTTAGGCTCTAATACCATGTTGAATTTAGAGATTTGGAGAATGAAAATGCTTCTTAATTTCATAATACAAAACTATTCCTATTTATAGATCTATACAAGATATCTTAATAAAGAAACAAATAAATATAGAATCATGCATAATTACCCTAATATAAGCCTTACTAAATCAGCCACCTGAATGTGGAAGGAGATTGGCGTGATCCAGGTGAACCTTCTACGGATCCCAATCATGGCCGTGGGATCAAGGGCAAGAGACGGTTGAGATTTTAACATATATTTCTTCTTATAATCAATAAAAATTATAGGAAGATCATTTTTTTTGTTCTCTATAGTTCTCTATTGGTTGCCTTAGTATAAACATATGTGGGCTCCGAAAATTCGGCCCCGACCTCCGCTCGCTTTTCTTTATTCGGCGAGGGAGTTTTAACGAACTAAGTTCCGAGGTAAATTTTGGAAGGCAGATGGGTTTGTAGATAAGACACTACCAAGAGATTTCGCCCTCATTTTGTGAGGACTTTATGATCTGAGTTCTGGTTTCCTATAGGAGCAAGCCCCTATAGTTAATTACCCCTCCCGATCACGAGAGAGAACTTTCGATTAAGGCTAGTCATCAATCAGATACGTATAGAATACGTGCATCTGGCATATAGTAGCAGCAATGGATTGGGTATTGAGGATTGGAAGTTTGGAAATTGAAGAATTGAGCTTGGAAGATTTGAAGATTTTGATATTTAAAAGTAGAAAATTGCACCACCTTGCACTTAAAGCGGATGGTGGGGGATCTGTACTCTTTTTTAGGGTTTATTTGATTGTTTATAGATAGAAAACATGCTTTAAAGATTGATGATTTCGTTTTTTGGTGTGCCAGATGATGTCATTATATTTGATTTAGTTTTGAGCCGAATTGTAGAGTTTAAAATCAATGTTTATTTTTAGTTAAATCCAAAAAAATGGACTTAATAAATTTCATTATTTCTTTAGAATGTGTTTTCTAACTCCAACCGTATGAACCCTTAAGAGGAATGAATAAATAAAATATCTACAATTGATTGGCCCCTTGATAAATTCTGAGGGGTTATATTGCGTTTCATGGAGGTTTTTTTTGTCCTTTCGTAAAGGCTATAATCTTATCGAACCAAAAATTTTCTGTGTGCCGATTGATAAAATAATCTTTCAATTTTCCTTTTGTGGTAGCATCCTTTGGAACTATTAGCACCTAACATGAATTCTTAAATAATTGGAGTTGGGTGCGTTATAATAGGTTGCTCTTTCTGTGGAAAATTACTCTAAATCAATGATGTTTTACTTTGTATCACTTCTTTGAAAGATGGGTATTCCCTTGACAACTTTGTTGACCGAAAATTGAAAATAAAATTAGCTTATGATCAAGGCAAACGCTATTGAGCCAAACTTCTCTGAAATATGAAAGGTTGACATATTCTTATGATTTTCTATCATTTTCTCTGACTAATGAATGCTTTCTGCTAGTACAATTCTGTTAGACTGGTCCAGCCATTCCAATGGGACTGGCTTACACGATGTTCGGCGGAAGTCTCCATCTCCTGTACGCAGGATCCATCCGCCCGGTCTTCACAGAGCCATTTTGGAAGGATTTCTTAGGGAGTTAGGAGGGAAATTTGAATGTAGGGACTATTTAGAGATGTTCTTTTTGATCGTATGCATTAAATAGTTTGTTTTTCAAGGGTTAGGGGATCTTGAATTTGGCTGAAATTTGAGATCTCTTAGGCTTAGGTTTTCTTTGGGCTCTAGCGGCGTCTAGAGATTTGGGAGACCTCTCGAAATAGAGGATCAATTGTATCTTGCTGTTTTTCTTCTTCTACTAGTGAATTTCAAATGTTTTCACTCAGGTTTTTCATTGTTTCTACTATTTTTCTTGAGTTTTTCTGCTCTGTTATTGCTGTTTTTCTTTGGAAACAGCAGTTTTCACTGTGGTGGTTGAGTGTTTCCTATCAAATTCTTATCCATGGTTTTCATCAAGTTGAATAAATAGCCTTGGTTGGTAAACTAGAAGAATAACTACTACCTTTAAGCAAAAGTGATGGTAAAATAAGAAAAAAAAAGATGCATTTTTTCACTACTGTTCTATAGGTTCAAGAACCAGTTTATTAGCTTGACAGATATTTGCTTCTTGTTTATCTGGTCCTTGAACTAACAGAACTGGATGGTGTTAAAAAATTAGTTTTTTCTTGTTTCATCTTCTCTTTTGCTTATCAATAAACTTCCGTAGTGAGTGACATCAAGATATTCCTTGCAATTCATTCAAATGATTCTTCCTCTTTCAACATTTTACAAATAATTTCTTCAACTGCACTGCCATTTTCTTTTCCCTATATTACATCAATAAATTCTTTGTGAGGAATTATTCTATGGAACCTTTTGACTCCATAAATATATCACTTATTGTGTTTATTTGGCAGGACATTATTATGTATGTGAACTCGCCAGGAGGATCGGTGACCGCTGGTAACTTCTCTCTCTCATGTTGATAATTATGGTTGCGTTAATCAAACTCAGATTATCTCATCTTTTTTATTAGGTATGGCCATCTTCGACACGATGCGGCATATCCGTCCGGATGTTTCCACTGTTTGTGTTGGCTTAGCAGCCAGGTTACTGAATTTTCTCTTGATTTCATAATTGTGCTATATAACATTAGCACCAGTTGTTTAAACTGAAATCTGATTGATTATTAACTAACTTCCTGCCTGTTTCACTGTAGCCACTTAGATTATGTGGATTTGTAGTAAAAGTAGGAATGTAGTTTGAATGATAACATCAAAAGGATGATAGGATTAGCATTAGCATCTTAAGAAAATAAGATATGAAACAGATGTAAGGTGTTCCCAAAGTGTTATCAATAATCCTGTTTGATGGAAACTAATATAGAAGGATTAGAAAGGTAAAGGATCAAAAGATAGCATGGCATAAGCTGTGTAGACAAACCTTTGTGAAATAAAGGCAACATTTAAATTTGCACTCAAAGATTAATGAGTGAAGGAGGAATCCCACCCTTAGGCTTCGTTAGGGACGACTTTCTTCCTGCTTCTTAAAATAGCTTTTTAGTATAAAAATTAAAATTTTTGTACTAAAAAGCTGTTTTAAGAAGTAATAAAAAAGCCGTCCCAAGCGAAGCCTTAGTTTATTTTTTGGTTTTTTATTTATAATGTTGGTACTAGCAACATTTTTGAAGAATATTAGACGCCTATCTTCTTCTCCAATGAAGCTTTTTGCTAATCACTGCTTTGTTTGCTTGAAATCAACAGTATGGGTGCTTTCATACTAAGTTCAGGCACCAAGGGTACTTCTTTTACCTTGCTTTGGTGGAGTATTCATTCTTCTTTGAACTATTTCCTTTCTGATAATATGCTTTTTCTCCTTTGAACAATTCCAGGAAAACGTTTTAGTTTACCAAACTCTAGGATAATGATTCATCAACCTCTTGGCGGTGCACAAGGAGGGCAAACAGACATTGACATACAGGCAAGTGGAATCACTTTCTATTTTTTATTTTTATTTTTTACTAAAGATATTTGATTAGTATATTGTGTTTTTATTTTTTATTTTTTATTTTTAAATACTAGTTTTTAAAAGTGTTTTCATTATTTTCAAAATATAAATTTTCCAACCGCCTGATCTCGGGCGACATGCCGACCAGCCCTTGCCAATGCCACCACTATGCCAAAGTCGACACCGTCTTCGTATAGTCAACCACCAACACCTCTGGCTACATCACCCCTACCCTCTTCCAAACGGCGAACTTACGCAAGATATTCTATAAAAATTAAAATTAACTTACGTTTAAAATATCAAATATAGATATATTTTTTCATATTTAAACATTAAAAAAAATGATTTGATCTCAAAGGGCTCCTAAACTAGAGAGATTATTACGTGCGGAGTTCTGACACAGAGAACCGTTCGGTTTTGTGACTGTGAACAGTAAAAAGCGCAGTTACTGTTTATCAATGTGCTTTTATTATTCAGCCCTGCGTTTTTACTGCTCACTATCACAAAACCGAACGGTTCTCTATGTCCGGACTCTGCACGTAATAATCTTTCGCTAAACTAATGGTAATGGGTGTACTAACATGGTCTGAGCTATATCTTTCACTCAGGCGAATGAGATGTTGCATCACAAGGCTAACCTGAATGGATATCTAGCATATCATACTGGTCAAAGTCTTGAAAAGATAAACCAAGACACCGATCGAGATTTCTTCATGAGTGCAAAAGAGGCAAAAGATTATGGCCTAATTGATGGGGTTATAATGAATCCACTCAAATCTCTCCAGCCTTTGCCAGCTTCAGATCAGGAAGGAACAGTTGCATCAGTGATCTAGTCGGATCTTTCAAGTTCAGTCTTAACAAGGTTAATTTATTGCTCGTACAATTACAGTTTTGCCATAAGGAGCTTTGTAGCTTTCTAGGTTTTTAAAGTTTTGTAATTGTAAATTTTGAAGAATAGTAGTTTGATATTGTTCATTTCCAAGGCAATATCTTTCAAGATTAAAGAGCCATTAAATCATATAATTTGGTTCATTTGGAATCATAATATAAGTTTTTTTTTTTATACACGCAAAAATAGAACTAATTTTAAATTTAATTAATATCTAATTTTTTTTATGATATCTATTTTTTAGTGCTACTTTTTAGCTGTTAATTTAAAAGTTTTTCTCAAAATAAATATCAAGTAATTAAGGTTTCATTTGGGAGCTTTTTTGTTATTTTTTTAAAGCAATTTTTTAGTATAAATTTTTTTATTAAAAATTTATTTTATAAAATAGTAAGAAAATTATTTCAAACGAAGCCTAAGTCTTATTAGTAGTTTCATCTATCAGAGCTCTTTGTTGCTCGTCCGCTCGCTCCTTTTCCCTTGCTTACTCTACTAGCAAGCATAATTGGCTTGTTGGTTCAATTGAGCTCACTCTAGCCTATTCATTATATGCATTGTTTTATTTTTAATTAAAAAATGGCCATTAAAGTAAAAAAAAAAATAATTTTATTTTACTCAGGAGTGTGCTATGAAATTATTAATTTTACATAAAATATGAGAAAATTTATGCCGTTTAAAATAAATATTGAATTTAATTATTAATTATCATAGTTTAAAAAATTTTCATTATTTATCAAAACATGCTTTCTACCAATTTTGTTAGAACTTTATTGTCAATGACACTCAAAATTTGCATTATTTATCAATAAATATCCATTATAACTTTATTGAGTTAATTGAATAGAAATATATCTTTATGTTCTTGTGATATTTATTATCATAAGAAATTTATATATTTTATTAGGAGTCTTTGAGAGGTTTATCATATATTGATAAATTTGATGTGTTCCCTTTTTTGATATTAGTGTAAGAAATCATAAACTTTATTTTCATAGCAATAATTTAAAGTGGGTCATTGTGGTTTTATATACAATATGAGATTGTTTAATAAACCTATGTGACCTTTTTTTTTTTTTTTTTTAACATTCTAAGGAAATTTTATTTTATATTTTTTACAAATTTGCAAACATAATAAGAGAAGAATATAACGGGAAAAACATATTTTTATTTGGTCAAATATGCCCGAAAATCATTTTTTTAATGAAAGTATCCTTTTATTGAAATATAAGGGATAACACAACTCTTCTTAGCATATTGGTTGAGAGCTTAGGCTTCCAACTAAGAGGTCCAAGGTTCGAGTCTTTGTGTATGCGTTGTGTGTGTGAGTTTGCCTTAAATGGCCTAAATGTCCCAAAAAAAAAAAAGAAATATAAGGGATAATCTCTTATGCATATGTAAATTTTCTAACTAAAGAGAATATTAGTGTTAATGCATTCTTTTATTTAGAGGCTGTTTGATTTTGAAGTAAAATGCGTGTAAGATAATCCAAATGCAGAGATTTTAAAAATATTAGTATTGATTTGAAGTAAAACTAATGCAATGTAAAATTCTAGTGCATTTGGAATTCATTATCAAGTTCAATTTTGAAGTATTTGAAATTCTTCATATTTGGAGGATTTTCAAATACACCATAAATTCATTATCATTACCACCGCTAATCGCCAGTCGTCACCACTGTCGACCACCACTCACCTCTAACTGCCACCAACACCGCTGCCACTGCACACCATCACCCACCATAACTTGCTTCCTTCACCAAAGAACTATCCGTCGCCAACAACCATCAATCGTAGACGGCTGCCATCACCAGTAGCCCACAACCACCGCTGACACCATAATTTTTTGACTTTATAATATATTCATTTTATTTTAAGCCAAATAAAAAAATTTACAAGATACATTTATTTTTCACTCTCATCCAAATAACTTCGAAGTATTTCTATTTATTTTACACTTATAGTTTCTTAGGCACTAACTCATTAGCTTCTCTTAGAGAAGGTTGATGCTGCAAAGAACGATGATTACTCTAATAAATATTATATTAAAGGTACGAATACCATAGTTTTTTTTTTCTCTGGCTATTGGTTTGAGATTTGGTGAGTATCCTTATAATGAGAAGTTTGAGGAGGTGATTAAGAGCTCAAGGCTTATTGAGAACTAATTGAATGGCAACAAAAATTTAAGAATTCAGATTGAAAAAGTCTTCAATGAATGCACGATTAGAGAAGATTTATGGAGGTTAGGTTTATGTGCTTGTTGTTGATGGGCTACTCAATCATGAGAATAATAGTATTATTTTTATTAAGATGCTAACTCTAGTTACACAAAAGAGGACCTTTTTGTACTAAATTTGTTGGAGAGAGAGCCCACAAAGTGTGTTGAAAAACAACAAAGTACTATGTAGTGAATAAGACTCCATCAGATTTTTGGTTGTAAATAAAGATTACTCGTCACCACTCAATCAATGCAGAGCAGTTATCTCACTTCAATGCTTAGATGACATGTCTAATGGATTAGACTAAAGAAAGAGAGAATGCAGAAGGAAATGGAAGCACAACATAAATTAAATAGTTAAATACACCCACAAATAGGAGAGATTATTAGGTGCGGAGTGCGGACGGGGAGAATCATCCGCAACAAACATTGGGTACCTAGCGATACCCAGCGGTACCGAGTGGTACCCAGTACTTGTGCGGATAGTGCACAGTCCACACCTAATAATTATTCCATAGACAGACCAAATAATATTGCAACTATTCTATTGATAAATATTTACATGCCAACATTCAATCATAACTTTTGAATCACATAAATGCATTATTATGATAGATAAAGGTTACGTTTTAAATAGTTTTTGTATTGCTTTTTAAAATGACTTTTTAGTAAAAAATTTCAAATTCAAGAAATTTTTGTAAAAAAAAGCTGTTTTAGAAATCAAGAAGAAAGCCATCTCAAACAAAGCCAAAGACTAATGGAATAATAACTAACATTGTTTTATATGAACTTTTTTTTATCATTATTGCATGTCAATGATTTTTGAATTGAGAAGGAAGAAGAAGCATAAGGAGACCTTCAAGTGGTCTGCATTTGTGTTAGATGCATCATTAGAGAGAAAAAAAAAAAAGAAAAAGAAAAAGAGTTCTTAAAATTTTCAGAAAAATATAGATATCCCATATAATCTAAGGAACTAGAATAAAATTCATTAAATAATAAGTGAGATTTCATTATCACCATTTATGAAATGAACTACTACGACTATTAAAACTCCATGTTCTATCAGTCTTTCATTGAAAACCAATATGTTTTAAAGGACAATTATAGTACATTTCAAGAGAAGGAAGACGAGCCATGAGCCCTCAGGCTATGGAGAAATTATTATGTGCGGATGCCAAACGCCGCTTTACGTCCGGATGCCGCGGTGGCGAGCAATATCGAGCAACAATACCGAGCAGTACTGAGCCGCGACATAGTAAAACGGTGATGTGGTGCATTCTGATTGGCCTTCAAACAACATTCGTTGTCTGTATATAATAATTTTTCTAGGCTATCATATTTGAATTTGAGATCCACAACATAATGCGCAATATCCATGCTACATATGCATTAGTTCTAAGTTTGGTAGCATAAGGTTTGATTAAAATGAAGTCCAAATAATACTAGCTTCTAAAATTCCAAACTACATCCTTAGGTCAGGGTTTTTTTAAGTTCTTGAAATAGGCTCAACCTATCTAAACTTTGGTCCAATTTGGTCCAAAAAGATCAGTAGTTTTATACAGACCTATATTTGGCTAATATTAGCATAAGATGTACTAGGCTAAGACTGATTTAGGTTGATTGGACATATGAACCAATGCAGTTAATCAAGCAAAAAGTCATAAGATTAATTAGCTAATTAATTAGCATAAGATTAAGTTAGAAAATCATTCGATTACAAGCCGATTCAAATGTAATCATTTCAAATAAAATAGGAATCCAGATTTTCAAATTTGAGCAGAGCCAAATAATCACAGGGACATATATAAAGCAAGCAACAACCATTTTCCTCAGACCATCAACCATGCCATGGCCTGTGCGGAAATAATTAACAGAAGCAACTTTCTCATATCTAAAGCAATCTTTCTTGAGAAATCAACGAAGGTTAATAAAAGTTCAGATCATACTTCTTGAGGCACTAAGACAACTTATTACGGCACAGTTTTTGTTATACCAACACTTCAGGCTTTCAGTTTCACAGAAAAATAGCAGAAAGTATAAACAGGTTTCACTTGAACAAGTTTGCAATCTCTACCTTATATAGATCAATCACTTTGTCCCTTCTCACTTTCATTGTAGGCGTCATTAATCCATTCTCAACCTGAATTCAAAAAGAGGAAAACTTCAGTTAGTTACACATTCAACTGATGTAGATAATTTATATTAAAAAAAAGGCAAAAAATCTTTTACCGTGAAGGGTTCATCCACAATCGTTATTGGCCCAATATGGAAGGAGCAATCTTTAGTCCTTCGGTGAAGAAAAAAAAGATTAATCAGTTTTAGATGCCATAGCTGAAATGCCCAACTCGGCCGTTCATCAATTTAAAATAATCTACATAAACAAGACCAATCTAGAGAGAGAGAGAGAGAGAGAGAGAACAAATCACATAAGTTTTTTCATTCTAATATGGAATTTTTACTTTCTTTAACTTCTGAGAATAATTCTTGGTGTCCCAAATCACATCATTATGCCTTTCATGGTCAATAATCTAAGAGATTGATAACATAAAGATTAGTTGCTAAATAATTTTTGTCATGTTTCATCTATACTCAGCTATAATTAGTGACTGACTGGACATAGTTAGACAATTAATTTTATTGATCAACTAATTAGCATGAAATTAACAAAACCTCATTATAATTTCATCAACTTGAACTAAGATAACAAAACATGCATAATTAATAGATATTTTACATTGCTAGTCCCTAAATAACTATGAAAAACAATATTTTAATTAAATCACTGTAGAAATAAGGCTTCTTTTGGAATTGCTTCTATAGTTTCTTATTTTCTTTAAGAAAAATTCATACCACAGTTTTGATTTCTGTGAGAAACCTATACCGAAAGCCATACATTACATTTGTACCTACTCCATGACTTCAAAAATCATGTGCAATTATAGTAGAGTTCTCCCATCCCTATGACATGGAACGATTTCTATTTTCGATAGAACAAGATAACCAAACAAATCTCAAGTATTGCCAGCCACTAATCAACTTTGTGGGAAGAGCTTACCATCTAATTGGAATCAAATAGATGAAATTCAAGTTATTAAAAAAGTATAATTACAGCAGGTTAGAAATTAGACCGGACCAGTCGGTTGAACCAAGAATCTGTTGGCCGGTCCGATAAAATTGCAAAATCGGATTAAAAAAAAACCAGCCTAAACCAGATCAAACTGGCGGTTCGACAGGTGAACAGGCAAACCGGTGCGGTGGTGCCAGTTTCAAAAAGCCGGACGGTTTTTTTTTGTTAAATCATTTCTATAATTAAATAAATTAATTTAATATAAAATATTTAATTAAATTTAATCTATTATAATTTTTAAAAAAGCATTAAATTTTTATGATAATTATTTGTCAAATAAGCATCAATCAAGCTTTATAACATGGCCATACCATCCAATGTGACTACTTTACTCATGTGAACAAAAAAAGTTATATAAATAATGCTAACATATAACGCTCTAGTGATGTGAGACCAAATAAACAAAATAAAATAATTGAGTTCAAAACACATACACTACATATTTTAACAACTGTTTTTCAATTAATTTATTTATGATGTGAATAATATTTAATTTTTAATTAATCATATATTTATTTCTTTATTTATTTAATTATCTATTATTAAAAAATAATTTTCATCTATTTTAATTATAAATGATCTAATAAGAATTTATAGATTTAATTTTATAATGTAAATTTTGTATATAATTTATAGGTGTAAATTATATCTAAATATATATCATAAATTAACAATTTTTTAGACTAAATCTATAACTTATATGTGAACTAATTTTAGATTAAATGTGAATTAAATTTAAAAATTGAATATGTTTAAATTTAATGTGTAGAATATATTATGTGCATAAATTTTATTTAATTTTTAGTCATAAATCTACATTATTTTATAATGATTATATCATTATTATGTCATCAAGATGTTATTTAAATAATTTTAATATTTATGACATCATCTGGTTCAACTCAGATCAAATCATTGAACCTTGAATCTCTCCTCCTGGTTCTATGTCATGTTCGGTTTTTTGATAGGAAATACTTGAGTTCGCAAGTAAACCTAAGGAATACTTGAGTCCGCAAGCAAACCTAATCAAAACTGGAGAGGGAAACAGCAGAAAAACTGCTATTTTCAACAGTGGACAGCAGCCAAACAAAGAAAATCAGCAAGAAAACACGAGAAAATTGCGAGAAACTCAAGCAGAGACTTGTATTTAACTAATGGATGAGAAAAACAGAAGCAAGATACAATGGTTCTTCGATTCGAGAGGAAGAACAACTCTCCTATCTCCAGCAACGCCAAGAGCCCAAGCAAGAAAACCTAAATCTCAAATTCAAGATAATCCCCCCTCTCCCTCCTAACCTCCTAATTAACCATAAAGGAGTTTTACAAATTGTCTAAACAGCCCCTCTCATTCAAAATTTCCCTCCCAAAACTCTTCCTTGGCCCCCGCTGGTTCCGCCTGTGTCGCTTGGTTCAGCGTGTGCCACTCGGTTCCGCCGTGAATAGGTGAGGACCGGTCCAGGTTGGACTGGTTCAGCTGGCCCCTCCTGGGTCGGCCTAAGACTGGGCAAAACTACATTTCTTTAAGTTAGTTTTCAGCTGATGTGTCTGTAGGATCCTCAAAACCTCCTCTAGATGCTTCAAATATTCCTCCTCGGTTTGGCTGTACACTAAAATATCATCAAAGAAGACTAGCACAAACTTCCTCAAGTGCTGCCTGAATACCCTGTTCATCAAGGACTGAAAAGTAGCGGGGGTGTTAGTGAGCCCAAATGGCATCACTGAGAACTCATAGTGCCCCTCGCGTGTTCTGAACGTCGTCTTTTGAATGTCCCCTTCATTCTGATTTGGTGGTAGCCCGATTTCAGGTCGATCTTTGAAAACACAACTGCTCCATGCAGCTCATCTAGTAGCTCATCGATCACAGGAATGGGGAATTTGTCCGGTACTGTCTCCTTGTTCAAGGCTCTATAGTCTACGCAAAACCTTTAGCTCCCATCCTTCTTTTTGATCAGTAAGACTGGACTGAAGAAAGGACTCACACTGGGTCTGATCCCTGCTTCCAACATCTCCTTGATCAGCTTCTCAATTTCATCCTTCTGAATCTGGGGGTAACGATATGGTCGAACACTGATCGGTGACACTCCCTCTTCCAGAAGAATGACATGCTCCTGCTCTCTAGGTGGTGGCAATCCCTGGGGTGGCTGGAACACCTCCCTGTATTGCTGTATGAGCGGTTGCACTATCGGTGGACTGTCTCCTTCTTCCCCCACACTAACCCTCTCCAAGCATTGCAGCTCCACTAAGTATGCCCCTCCCACCTCCTGTATGGATCTGATCATGGATTTGAGGGATACTCCTGCCCTGGATAGCCCCGAATCGCCTTGGATCGTCATCCTCTGTCCCTCCACCATTAGTTCCATCCTCAGAGCACCCCAATTGACTTTGGTCTCCCCCAAAGTCTGCAGCCATTTCATTCCAAGGATGACATCCGTACTCCCCAATTCCAGGGGAAGGAATTCTTCCTTTACATGAATCCCCTGAATCTTTAGTACTACTCCTTGTCCCATCTCTACCTTCTCGGTGCCCATCATTACCCCATAACCTCCCGTATCCACCAGCTCCATCCCCATTGCATCAACAATCTGGGTGGAGATGAAATTGTGAGTTGCCCCACTATCTATCAACACCACAACCTCCCGGCCAGAGATCTCTCCTTTCACCTTCATAGTGTGACTCGAAGTGAATCCCACTACGGAGTTCAGAGAGACTTCTGCTACGTCCAGGTGCAACTTCTCCTCCTCCTCCCCCTCGGGGTCACTCATGCCTCTCTCTTCGTCTTCCTCATCTTCACAAACGAGGAGAACCTGAAGAGATCGGTCCTTGCACTGGTGCCCCGGCATGCACTTCTCATCACACATGAAGCACACCCCTTTTGCCCTTTTCTCTTGCAGCTCCTTCTCAGTCAGCTTTTTGAACTGCCCACTATTGCCGTCTCCTGCCCTCTCCTTTGGTGCCTCTCGTGGTGCAGCTCCTTTTGGAGCTAGGAAGGTAGTCGTCATCCTGTAGGATCTCCCAAAGCTGCTGCTACGAGCCCCTTTCTCCAGATACCTCTGATCCTCCACCAGCTGCGCCAACTCCATAGCTTCCCCCAAATCGTGAGGTCTCATCACCCTGATAGCTGCCCTGATCTCCAATTTAAGGCCCTTCATGAAGTTCCCCTCCAACACGGTCTCAAAGAGACGATCCAGCCTACTTGCAAGGTACTCAAACCTGTCGCGGTACTCGACGACCGTCCCCTCTTGTGTCAGGGCAAAGAACTGCTCGTAGAAGTCTCCTTCCCTACTGGTTTGGAAATGCTCTAGGAAATGCTCTAGCAGACAATCCTTGAACTCCCTCCAGCTTCGAATGGGCCACCTCATGTCCCGCCATTGGTACAAAGCTAATGCTTTCCCTTCCAAACACAGTCCTGCCGCTGTCAATTTCTCCTCCTCGGTCAACCCATTGACCGCAAAGTATCGCTCCACCTTGTAGATCCAGCCATGTGCGTCCTCGCCCTCAAAGATGGGCATCTTCAATTTTCTCACCCTCAGATCTCCCCAGTTTCCTCTTACTGCTCCATATCCTCCCATTCCTCAAGGAGGAAATGCTCCTCAGTGGTCATGAACTTCCCTCCGCCGATCATACCCCTGCCCTTCCTCATACTCTTCTCTTCTCCTCTCCTCCTCAGCACCTCGACGGTAGAACTCATCCATTCTCCCAAAAAATTCAGCACCCCTTCTCTCATAGCCCATGCTCATCTCCTCTCTAGAAAGCAGTTCTAGCAGAGGCATTCCGTCATTCCCATCAATGATCTCCACTTCGGTAGTCTCCCTCCCCCTCAATAGGTTCGGGTTCCTGTTTCTCCCGTTGTCGCCAGTGGCCTCCCTTGCTTCTGCTGTCGTCGGTTTTGGTTTGCTCTCTAACATCTTCTTCATCATTTCTTCTAATGCCGTGAACCTCCCATCCATCTTTTCAAGGATGGACGCAAATTGATTTTGAAACTCAACGGTTCTCTCTTCCAAATCGGTCTTCAGTTGGCCGATTTCACCCTCAAGAACTTCTACTTTTCTTCCGACCATCTTCTCTTCCACAAAAACCAAAAATATCCTTTGCGGAAGAGGGTTTCTTGCTGAAATTTCTGAATTTTCAGCCGCCGATGGTCCCAAGATGATGCTATGATACCAATTTGATAGGAAATACTTGAGTTCGCAAGTAACCCTAAGGAATACTTGAGTCCGCAAGCAAACCTAATCAAAACTGGAGAGGGAAACAGCAGGAAAACTGCTGTTTTCAACAGTGGACAGCAGCCAAACATAGGAAATCAGCAAGAAAACACGAGAAAATTGCGAGAAACTCAAGCAGAGACTTGTATTTCACTAATGGATGAGAAAAACAGAAGCAAGATACAATGGTTCTTCGATTCGAGAGGAAGAACAACTCTCCTATCTCCGGCAACGCCAAGAGCCCAAGCAAGAAACCTAGATCTCAAATTCAAGATAATCCCCCCTCTCCCACCTAACCTCCTAATTAACCATAAAGGAGTTTTACAAATTGTCTAAACAGCCCCTCTCATTCAAAATTTCCCTCCCAAAACTCCTTGGCCCCCGCTGGTTCCGCCTGTGCCGCTCGGTTCCGCGTGTGCCGCTCGGTTCCGCCGTGAATAGGTGAGGACCAATCCGGGTTGGACCGGTCCAGCCGGCCCCTCCTGGGCCGGCCTAATATTTTCACAATCTTGAATGTAAGCATGCAATAACCAACTAATTAATTTTGAGATAAATAATCAACTAATTATTAGACAATTAATTCTTCAATGTGGTATTTCAGAACTAACTCTTTACTCTTATAATCAACTTCAAATAATTTGCTTTCTAGTATACGAGTTCGGAAAAATTAACATTTTTAAATTTATATGAATAATCCATCTAAATTTGATTTAGAAATCATCCATTATATGCATAAATTACACTTCAAATTTTGAATAATTTAATCTTTGTAGTTTAAAAGCCTATCTTTAAGACAGTTACAAATAAAACCCTTTGAAATTAGGGGTTCTGAATTCTCAAAAAAGTTGCCAGAATCATCAAACAGGGTTCTTCTCAGGTGTTTAAAGAAAGCTCATTATCTGATGAAGACAATCAAATAATCTCCGTAATTCTTTTTTTTTGAAAACCAAATCCTAACTAAGAATGGCGTTGTTCACAAAGAACTTTCTATTGTCACTATCCCTCTACAGTGAATGTTAGTAGTACAAGGAAGCAAAGATTAACTAGACGAATCATAACCAAGATTTTGGTAAATGTGTCTGATGTCAAGTGTAATAATATTGGGGCAAAAGCAAACTTTGGGATTTCAAAACATAAGGATGCCTCATAAGTCAAACATCTCACCTCGAAGAGGAAAATTGCAACCTTAAAAGTAGTTAAGAAGCATCCTCACCTGTTTCTTACTTCTTCATGTAACAAGCTAATCATTTTGTCCTTGCTGAGCTCAGAATTCTCATCATTGATAAGCAAACGATTCTTAGCTGCCAGTAAAAGCTCATCTCTATTTGGGACAATTAGAGCTCCAAGCCTCCGTTGATCCTACAATACAATAAAATTACCTATTGAGGCAGCTCTTTCTGTAAAGATTTAAACCTAATCTGCTAGGATGCAGTAACATAGTGTTTTAGTAGAATAAAGAATGCGAGAAAAAGGAAATTAATTAAAAGTTAATAATGTCGATCAATTACAAACAGAAAATTTAACAACTCAACCAATTATTACCATGCCTTAACAATGATCGTAGTGAGATATGAATACTGAAAAAAACTAGGAAAATAATTAATATTCTCAAGAGAGTATCACTGAAAACAAATAAGCATAGAAGGAAGTGGCCACACACCACAAAGGATATCTGTGTAGTTGACGTTTTTGTATGACAATATGGCATCATGGATCTATCATATAAAAAACTAAAGGTCTATTAAAATTAAAAGCCATTTGTTAAGCAAGTAGCCACATTAGATTTATCCAAAAGTATCCCGTGATTGAAAATAAGTTTACTTATATCAACTGGTAAAGAGATGGACTCTTTACCGCTGAAGGACTGACTCTTTAATTAGTCTATATCACTATACTATCTACTTGATGCAGTACAACTTAGGTATAAGTTCCTTAATCCAGCTAATATAATGTGCAGGATGATTTAATGGAAATGAAAATAAAGGATTAACATATCATAAATAGACAATTACTTCAATGACTCTCTTTCTTTAAATGAAAACAAGTAATACTGGAGTTATAGCCTTACTGGTAAGACACTAACCTTTAATATTTGAAAATTTCAGCAAGAACTTGAAAAAAAAATCAGTGAGCAAAGAGAATTATTTTTCACATATAATCAAATTTAAATGTCACTTTTGATCAAAATCAAGGTCACTAAGACACAAATAATAAATTATGTAGATGAAACAAAACAAGAAACGAAATTACAACAATAAGAAGAAAAAAAAAACCTAATATTGATACCTAGTGATTCCCCCAAGAATTAGATGGTCACGATTTATTGACCTCTCTTTAGAATTGTTGACCTCTACTATACAACAAAAAAAAGAAGACATAAAAAAAAGTATAAAGAAAAGAACTCAAAATCATTACCTGTCATGAAGCTTTGCCACAAATCCTGTAGAAACAGTCGCTCCAACCCTACGAACGGCGCCGCTCATGTCGCTTCTCCCACGCGCGTAACTTACCTCGATCGGGCCTCGCAATTGTCGTTAAATACCGGAGCAAAAGAAGCCTTCGGGGCTGTTTCTTCTCCATGCGAAAAGCCTTCGCAAAACCTCTGAACTCCTTCCCTATTCCTGATCCCCCCTGCCTCTCGCTCTTCTTTTCCGCCTATAACAGCGTCACAACCCAACCAATGACCGAACTCGATGGCCCTGTCCAGACATTCTTGTGAAGAGATCTCGTTGCCCCCTACCTATTCCGAACACAAGCATTTGAACACCTGTCCCGAAGCCCATCCGATCATCTTGTCTAGTGAAAAGAAAACACCATAATACCCAATTGCACAATTTAAATCTCAACTTTTATGTTCCCTAATGTCTAAGTCTATGACTCGTGAGCCATAAGGACATAAAGCCTTTTTGGTTAACACCGCTTAAAATTGGCCCCTTTGAAAAAGTTTTCATATAGATCTACATAGTCTACTTGGACGACAAAACCAATGGATGTTGACAAGGGTCACTTAAATATTGGGTCAACTACACCCCCATACCCTCCCCCTCACTCTAAGCTAATAGAAACATAACCCTTCTTACAATCCAAAAATTATTCCTAGTAAACAAAACATCATAGAGCATACTGATTAGATTACATCCTCACGATCGGGATGGGTAATTAATCCCAAGGCTTGTACTTCTGGGAAATATCAAACCAAATCATAAATGCCTCATAAGAAATCCCTGTGTAGTATTTTAGCTGATCTAAGCTTCCTTCTAAAATCTACTGTAAACCACTATAAGGAATGTATATTTTGATAGAGCCAAACTAGAGTTTTTAGAGCCCACAAAGGCCTTCATTACTTAAAGGATCTAAAGAACAATTAGAAACAAAGAACAAGCTACTACCAAATCGAAATTCATATTATTAAAAGATTTCTAAGTACCTAAATAGCCATTGATAAAAAGAAACTATATCAATTGCAAATCAACAAAGAAAAGAATAAATTAATAAATCTGTCTTGATATTTCTATCATATGTTAATGTTAACGGACTCATGTGTCTTAAAAGTACAATGATATATCGTTCAAGCACCTGACCAACGACCAAAATATGCTGAATTAAGTTACTCCTCATCACAGCTTCCTCAAGTCCGGAGGGTTCGACATTTTCACCTAGAAAATTCAACAAAAATCATAACAAACTACTTAAACGTATGATAAACATGAACAAAATGAAAACAAAAAATAGAAAATAGTCATGTAAGATTACTCGTTAGCGGTGAAAAATGTGTTGAGAGATAATACAAACCAAATAAAGCATTGCAATTAAAACAAAATATAAGGGTGCGTACGACTCTCTTCCATGTAATTTTCAATCTAATGAGCTTAATATGTCTTCATGCTCATATAAAAATTGCATATAAAGTCGTAAACTGCATTTGGATGGATGGATGGATTGATCGTTGATGGAAAGAAAGTAGAAAATAGAGTTAAAGATAGGTAGAAAAGTCCAATCCTACAGTTAAATTTTTTATTTTATTATCTTCAAATATAAAATCAGGGTTACTTAGGTTGGATTGCAATCTACAACAACAACAACAACAACATCAAGCCTTTATCCCACTACGTGGGGTCGGCTACATGAATCCTTTTTCTCCATTGTGTTCTATTAAAAGTCAAATTCTCATTTAAACCTAATAAAGAAAGGTCATTCCTAATATTTTCTAACCAAGTCTTTTTAGGTCTACCCCTACCTTTCTTAACATAAGTACATGCAAATAGCAATACTTGAATTAAAACCCAATCAATCATAAAATTAATTTGATAAATTCAGTGATGATATAGAATAACATAAAATGAGAGAGTAATGGTAATTTAACTTTTAAAAATTGGATTTCTAATGTATAAAATTTAAATAAAATCAAGAGCACTAATCAAGTCAATATCAAATTATGGCGATAAAATAAGATCAAGAAACAAAAGTATCAAAATGAGATAAATCCTGCCCCATGTCAGTACATGCAAAAATTTTCCCACTCTTTGTAAGCTTTCAATCTCCCATCTCCATAAACTCTGAACCAGCTCCCACCACCCCTCACAAGCCCCGCACTCCATATCGCTTGTCTTCAAACTCTACGCACCATTCCTACCATCTAATCACATCCTAAACTACTAATAATCGAGCCCTCTCGCTCTCCTAATCCTCGCAAATAATCACCTCAACCCTCAACATATCTCAAACTCCAAACAAAACTACCCTATTAGCAATTTTCTTCTACATAGTTCTAAGCACCTATAAAAGTCCCATCCTTTCTAAGCCAATCCAAGCCAAAAGCACATCCTTTAGCTTCCTTTCATCAAGACTACACCAAATAAAAATAGTCATCTATCTTCGATAATTCCATCACCTACCACTCCATCAATTTAGTATCAACGTATCAAAGCAAACACGGGAAATAACAAGGACACAAGGTATAGCAACATTTCATCAAGAAGTTGGCTTTAGCAATTGAGAAGGTTGGTAAGAAAATTATTTGTTAGTGGTTATTCTTATTGCTTGATAAAGGAGCATACACCACCAAAATTTATTCCTGAGCTTTCATTCATTGTGCAAGTTAGCTGATACCCATTAAGAAATTCAAGTATGCCCTTCATCAATCATTTAACAGCATGAGAGATACATTCAATTTGATGAGGAAGTAGAATACTACAACAACAACAACTAGCCTTTATCCTACTATGTGGGGTCGGCCACATGATGACGAGAGAGTACAATAATCAAATGAATTTTTTTGCTTAACAAAATGAAATTCCAAGTACAACTTTTTTGATAGTGTTCTGATTCCATTGAAGGAATTCCTTCATCATAACTAATAAAAGGAATGCTTGACACTCTCTCCATTGCCAGTAACCTTGCCTTAAATATAACTTATCAAATATCAAACAAACCTCCTGCAATTGCAATTCAAGGTCAATATGCTTCTATTACTTCCCCAATAATAGTAAGTACTTGCAAAAAATTTAATTCACTCCCTTGCAGGAGCCACATGTGCAGGTTGATCCTCTTCAACCTTTTATGCAACTTAAAAAAATCATAGCCATTTTAAGATGGAGGGGTTAGTTGAATGCAAGTGAAGAGACCAATTTCAAACAAGATAATAAACTTTGAGGAACTTTTCTACAGTTCAAAGAAAAAGTCAAAGTTAAATGGATGATCTTGTCATGACAAATGTATCAAATCATGCATGCATAATTTAAATAAATTTCTAGAATTTCTATTTCAATTTAGTTATGTATTTTCACTGAAATTACAAGTTGAGATGTATTCGACATGCAAAAGTGGCCATGCAACCATCAACTTCATTCTAAACCATGCAAATTTCATCAAATGCAAACTAAGCTAAAAAAACAACCCATGCATGGATTCAAATCTTTTGGCTGGCCAACAAAGAAACTCAAGGATCAAGGCTCTCAACATTCTTATTACTCTCCCAAGGTTCATGCAAAAGGAAATTGAAGTGGCCTTTTAAATTTCCAAAAGGCCTGTATGGAGAGTGGTTCGTCCCCCTTGATTCCTTCAAACCATCCCCATTAGTTTATTGTCTCTCTATCTTCTATACATGCCACCTTCATTCGTCGTTCCAAATCCATGGCCTCCATGAATGCTTTTAAAATCATCGACCTCTCTACCAACATGTCCATTTAAATCTCCTCCAATAAAAACTCTTTCTTCAAGAGGTATATTTTGTATTAATTCTTCTAAGTCATTCCAAAAATTTAATTTAGAACTCATATCCAAACCTACTTGAGGAGCATAAGCACTTATAATATTAACAATCTTATCATCAACAACAATCTTTAACGCTAAAATTCTATCTCCAATCCTATTAATTTTTATAACATTATCCTTTAAACTCTTATCTATAATAACACCTACACCATTTCTAGTACGACTCTTACCCGAATACCAAAGTTTAAATCCTAAACTATCAATTTCCTTAGCCTTCTCTCCAACCCATTTAGTTTCCTGAATGCACAAAATATTTAACTTCCTATGAATCATAATATCTATTAATTCCATTAATTTTCCTGTAAGAGAACCTATATTCCAAGTTCCTATCCTAATTTTAGTTTCATGGACTAGCTTCTTTGCCCACATTCGTCCTTGATGTGGGAACCCTTGCCTATTTAACACTGCACCCGGGCGCCGGTGCAGCGGCCCTTGCAGGAATAAGTTTTATGATCTAATTTGATCACTTTTTAAGAATAAGTCTAATCAATTTTAATTAAAAAATAGATAGCTTGTAATGTTACACACTAAGTTATTTTTATTTTTATTTTTTTAAAGCCATTTGCAAGAGGATGTACCTTGGTCTATGCTTTTTGCTTCTTGTTGATAAGACCAGAGAGGGAGTTGAAGGAATACTTGAATTATGGAGGTCAACTTTAAAGTCTAAAGGTCTTCATTTGAGTAGATCTAAAACCGAATACATTGAGTGTAATTTTAGTAGTAATAGAATTAGTGGGGGGATTGTGACTTTGGGCGATTAAGTCATTAAAAAAATACACATTTTAGATATATGTAGTCTAATGTTCAAAGTGATGATGGAATATATGGTGATATTATTAGTAGAATTCAAGTTGGATGGAAGTGGAGGAATGCATCAAATCTATTGTGCGATAAGGGTGGTGAGACCTGGAATGCTCTATGTTGTAGAATGTTGGGCATTAAAAGAGAAGCATAAAATTAAGGGTTGAAAAAATGTGTGGGCTTCGAAAATTCGTGCACCGGCCTCTCCTGCTTTCAGGAGAGTTTTAACAAATTAGGTTTCGAGATAAATTTTCAGAAGGCATATTGAGTTTGAAACAAGACACTACCCACAATTTTCACCCTCACTTTGCAAGGACTTTACGATTTGAGTTCTAGTTTCCTATAGGCGCAAACCCCTATAGTTAATTACCCCTCTCAATAACGAGAGAGAACTTTTGAGTAAGGCTAGTTGTAAAAACAAATACGTAGAGAATACGTAATAATAGTGTATAGTAGCAGCCTGAGTTGATATTAAAAAAATTTAATATTTAAAATAAAAAAAATTCACCACCTTGTACTTAAAGAGGATGGTGGGGGGAATGATAATGAGCTCGATTAGGATCATATGGTTCCCTTGGCTTGGGCCATCATGGTCTCTAGTCTACCTAGTCAAAGGAGGTAGCATTAGTTTTCTCCCTCTTGGGATTAACAAGGACACTATCAAAAAGTGTGAGTTTATAGAGGAGATAACATTCATTTTCTCCCTCTTGGGATTAACAAGGACACTATTAGACAGTGTGAGTTCACTGTTCTGAAAGTTCTTTTCGACCCAATCTTTAAATATAAAAGTCTTCGATTGGGTGACTTACGATCCTATGATACAGACAGTAGTTTGGATCATTAATCATGCCAGCTTGTTCAGGTCGATGAGACTTTGGCAATTGAAGACTGATCTTTAGTGCTTGCCTAAAAATCTTTCCCATACATTCCCTTTGAAGGAATACAATTTGTTAATTTTCTCCTATAAAGTAGGAGCACTTTTTCTTTCTTTTGTTTATTTCAGCATTTTTGGTGGATTCATTGAATCCCCTTTTTTCTTGTCGGTGGAAGATGGATGTAGTATTCACATTGTTCCTCTTTGGATAATATGTTTTGATATGTTTTCCTTTTCCTGGAGAATTGTTGTTATAGTTGAAGCCAGTAGTTCTTGGCCTGGGTAACCTTTTGAATTTAGCTACACGATCCAGTAAAGCTTGGAAGGTATTGATTGTAGACATCACTAGATATGGAGCTATATAGTCATCAATATTCCCCATCAATAACTCAACAACACGCTTTTCACTGAGCTGTTGCTTACATTTCATGCTGAGATTCCACAATCTGGTGAAGTATTTGGTGATTGATTCCTCTATTTTCTTTTCTTCAAGAGTGAGGTCAACGATAACAACATTTTTTGTTGCACTGGAGAATCTTTTAATGACATAGTCTATAATTCAACGAATGTTCTTACTGAGTCGTTGGGTAACTCAGCATACCATTCAAAAGTTATACCTGTTAGGCTACTAACAAATTGACGTAGTAATATAGCATCATTATTGCCTATATTTACACAGGTATCTTTGAATTGTGCTAGGTGTTGACG